AAAAATGTGGTACATATACATGATGGAATACTACGCAGCCATAAAAAAGAACAAAACCATGAATTTCGCAGCAACCTGGATGGAACTAGAGTCTATAATACTGAGTGACCTCTCACAGAAACAAAGATCCGAATATCACATGTTCTCACTCATATAATGGACCTTGAACATCCAATGCAATACTATAAGAAAATGACTGACGGTACTGGGAAACTATGGGGGGGAGGGGGATGGGATTAACAGTAGCAAATATCTGTCGGGGGATGGGAAAACACCTCTTATCAATAGGGTGCCTGAATGAAACGTAATTGTACACCTAACCCTTAACTGTACCCCACAAAACCATAATAAAAAATACTGATTAACGAAAAAAAAAAAAACCCCAAAAAACATGCTGAAAACATGTTGAAAAAGAAGAGACTGACTCTGCAGCAGAGGGAGATAGGCTTCCCAGATGAGGTAACATTTGAGTTCAGCAATGATAAATAAGAAAAAGTTCACTGGATATGCAGGGAGAGAACCACAGGTGACAACATGGGCAAAGGTACATTCCATTTTCAGGAAGGAGGGATAAAGTAATAGTGGGGAGAACAAAAGGCTAGAAAGGTGGTTCATCTCAACAACACTTTTTCACCCTGGTACATTTCTTTCATGTACCAGAAACTGGATCCAGTTTGCAGTTTTCCTATCCCCGTGAAAACTTAGTGCCTCCTTTTTTACTTTCAGGTAGTTAGTTACCTTGGTAACAATCCTTACCAAATAACTAGAGTGGTTTCTATCTCATGACTAAACCTATACTAACACAGAAATCACTAAATATGTCTAAGCAAAGTAATGACTCATTAAAAAAATCTGTTCTAGAAAGAACATTGGTATTCATGTAGAGAATGGGATATGTCAAAACAGATTATCGTATTTAGAAATCTCTCTTGTGGTTAAGTGGCAACTAAAATAAAAAGGAAGAAACAATGTGCAGAATGCCCTTAACTAAACTTTTTATGATATGCCCTGAGATTTTTATTTAAGTTGCCATAAAAAAACATGAACTTTACTACTATACTTATGTTTCCTTCTTTTTTAATACTGAGACTTAATGTAACTGAGTTTGTTTCCTTTTAACAATATCTGCTAGGAACTTCAGAGTCAAAACTGAAGCTGAATCAGAACTATCCTAATCTTTGTAGAAACCTTTATTTTCTACCTTTCCTTGAATCCAATTATACATTTCAGTTTTTAATTGGTCTTTTATTGAAATCCATCTCGAATCTTTTCAAGTAATGTATAATTAATTCTTCAAAGTCAAAGGTTTTCTTCCCTGTAACAATATTTTAGATTTTATAATTGACAATTTCTATCTCTGAGCATGAACAGATGCAAAAAAATTAACCTGACATCCCACACTTAAAGTCTAAAAAACAATTTAAAAAATGCTATAATACTGTGGTAACAATATATGACAAATACAGTAACTTCGGGAACAATACATAACAAATACAGTAAGTAACTTTAGCTTCAGGTGTTGAAGGGAAAATCAGTGCTTTTAGAAAATTACCAACACATTTCTGTATGCAACATAGGAAGATTAAGTGAAGCCACTTAAATAAAAAAGATCTGCCTTATTCTTTTCCACACCCTGGGTAACATGACTTTTTTGCTGAGAAATGTCTGCTTTCATTACATTGCTCAGATTAGAATTAACAAAAGATTTCTAAATCTGTGGTAGACAGAGTCTCTATTTTATGTCCTTCTGTTTCATTTTAGAGGAAATACCTTTCAAATTCACAGAAAAAAGATATAACCTCCCGTTAGCTTTTTCCATCAAGCCATACCCTAGAGGTGAGAGAAGAGAATTTCTCTTTCTCTATTTGTAGCACAAGGCTCAACCATCCATTTTTTCATTTGGTACCAATATGGCTATATAAAATCATATATAAAAATTACCTGAAGGATTGGAAAAATCTAGCATGCTGGTAGTAGGCTGCAGAAGATCGGGACTGCTAGATGAGAGTGTTCCAGGAATAGGCATTATAGCCACACTGTGCCTACAGTGCCTCGTTCCCACAATGCTGTCATCTTGTGATTGGCTTGGGCCTCCATCACTTCAAAAGAAAGTAATTTTTCACTTTAAAGTATTTGGGGGTACTTAAATAGAAAATGCTCCTGTTCTCCGCATGTTAAGGCATAACAGAATCAACTCAAAGTAGTGATTTAGCAATTAAATATTACAGTAATTAAAAAAAATAGCAACTGTAATGATAAAAATGGCATTAAAGTAGGTTTTTAACAATTACATTAAAATATATCTTAATTTGGCATCTAAGTAATTCTATTACATCATGATAAAATAGTCACATTTAGTTTCTACTGGTTTTGGGAGAGAAATTGAACCTGAGTGTTTAGGGAGTCCTTGAAATTTGCCTGCTTCAGTGGACATTAATATATGTATCCAACAATGCATAGCCTCGCCATAACAATGTGTTCTTTCTCCCTTCCTCTAGAAAATCTTGGTAACTCTCTATGCAAAGGATGGAGTTGAGTGTAATTCAAACCTCCAAAATATGGCCGTTGTAGATAACAATGGGGACAAGTTCAAGTGGTAAAGTAAGAGAAGTTTTCAAGCACAGAAGAAAAAGAAGGATCAGAAAAGAAAACAGAATTAAAAAAAATTGTAGACTCTAAAGTTTATCCTAAGGGTACATTATTTCTCAGTGGTCTCTCAAGTCTAGTTATTTAAGTAAACAAAATACTCTTCCTTTAAAATATTTTAAAAGTGTCACATAGGCAACTTTAAATCCACCTAAGAGAAAAAATAAAAACAAAGAAACAAACATTGCCACTTAAGTTTTAGATACCCCAAAATATTAGCTCAATTTTAAAGTAAAGTAGTCCTACAAAAACATAATGAAAAACAAATTTCCATCAACATAAGTAACCAGCTACTACTTTTAAGGGTTGTATTTATGTTAAAACTAATGCTTTCAGTTAATATTAATTCCCATCTATATGCATCTGATGCAGCATTCTGCCTAGCACTTGGTATACATACAAACAGTAGTATCACAGAATACTTACCTATTGTGAAAACAATTAAGGTCTAGTCATGTAAATGAATGATATGGAATACACTGAGAATATGTTAGAAGTAAAAGATAGGATTTAGGCAGATTAGAATAAACTATGCAAGATGGAGAGCTAGACTATTAAATAAAACACTAAAGGACTGTTAATACTCAGACAAGGAATAGAGGGCCTGGACATGAGAGAGAGCTGAATAATAAGGGAAAAGCATAAAGATATGGAAGAAAACAAAGATAAGTGTTTCAAGAGCAAGCTCTGATGTCAAATAGACTTGGGTTATTAGCTGCTTAACTGCAGGCAACTTTCTTTCTCTTTCTGGGTCTTGGTTTTTTTCATCTGTAAATGCCAACAATACTATCTATACCCCAGGACTACTGAAAGGATTAAATTAGGTAATGTGGGTGAATGTTTTAGTAAACAGGACAATAGAATCTTTATTTCTAGGAAGAGACTAAAGCACTTTTACCAAAAAAGTAAAATGAGAACAGTACAAACCTAGAAAAGAGAAATATTTATTTTAGTCAACTTATATTGAAGAGCTGGGCATGGTGGCTCACGCCTGTAATCTTAGCACTTTGTGAAGCCAGGAGGATTGCTTGAGCCCAGGAGTTCAAGATCAGCCTAGGCACATAGTGAGAGATCTTGTCTCTACAAAAAAATGAAAAAAAAATTAGCTAAGAATAGTGGTACACGCCTGTTGTCCCAGCTACTCAGGAGGCAGAGGAAGAAGGATCACCTTCACCTGAGCCCAGGAGTTAGAGGCTGCAGTGGGCTGTGATTGTGCCATTGCACTCCAGCCTAGGCAACAGAATGAAATCTTGACTAAAAATAAATAAGTAAATAATAAAAAATGTTTAAAAGTTATAACTTTCTATTGAAGGGAATTAACTGTATCAGTTGCAAGCTGGAATTCACTAAAGAGACTAAGAGAAGTGCGTGAGATACCAAAGTCCTTATATCTCTTACTGATGCTATTTAACATCACTTCTGCTTCTTAATGTCAATAGATACAACATTATACAGCTATGAATATGTAAAGCTGGCTACAAATTCATGGTGGTTAAGGTGTGAGGTATATAAATGAAAACTATGCTGTCATGTACAATCCATGCTATGATATGAATGAAACACTATTTAATTGGGAAAATATCCATGCTTGCTTGAAAGCTGAATTATAAAGCCATTGGCAAATAATCATGTAATTCCTTACCAAAACAGTCTCCTGAAAAGGTGATGCAATAACAGAAACAAGATAGTTTTGAAAAATTCCTCAATAATTTTTCAATACTAAATTTACTTAGAATACACAGAAACAAGATAGTTTTGAAAAATTCCTTAATATGTCCCCAATAAACTTATTTAGAATAAAAATACTTAGTTTCATATTGTGAAACTAAAAAGGTCACATATCATCAATATGCAAATAAAAAAAATTCCAATATTAAAATCATAGTATGTTGACAAAAAATGAGGAGGAAGGAGTAATTCCTGATAAGCAAGCAAGGCAATTTATTTCTGGGACTGTTGCAATGATTAACATTAAATAAATAAATGTGACAAATAAATAAACAAACAAATAAATACGGAGTGATTTTTGTAAAGAAGGAAAACAGATTGATTGAAATGTGAAATTTTCTTAGGTCAATAAAAACTATACTGCTGTGTCATTATTTAGGTTTGGGATTTTGGAATGATCTAGCCTTATCTCAAGTTTTTGTTCCTTCCTTATATTTGTTGTTTGCTCCTCTCACAGATGCAGACATTTCTTATAGTATTTCTAGGACAACTCATTCCCTACTGTTACAAAAGAGAATGCTACTAAAGGCAGAGATCAAATCTCTGTTCTTGGTGCCTCAAACTTCCAAAGAGTAACAAACTTCCAACAATTTCTGGAGATGCTCAAAAATTGTGGAACTAAACTCATTAGAATTTTTTTCAATTAAAAATAATGAATATTCACAATAAAAAATCTACAAAATACAGAAGGCAAGGAAGAAAAACCACAATCAATATTTTGTTATTTTTCCTTCTAGCCATTTTTGTGATGTATACCACAATTTATCTGACTAATCCCTGTAGTTGGACATTTAGGGTGATTCCAATTTTGTTTTATTATAGATAAAACAACTAAAAGTATCTACACATAATAATCTTCATCTAATATTGTTAGAAATGAAATTCCTGAATCAAAAAATATGTCCATTTTTTAAGCTCATAATTAAAAGATTTCATCACTTTATATTACACCAGTCTAAGCTTATTATCTATCTTACACTATCAATTTTGGCCCTGATTATTCTCTTTGTCAATTTCCAATGAAACAAATGGTATTCTGTATAAAACTGTATATCCTACATTAATATCAATATGGAACATCTAATTCATCTGCCTATTATTCTATTGAAGTTTTAGTGATTTTATCCACAAGGATAGTATACTTTCGTGTAGCAAAGGAACTGTCTGAATTCACTTCAAAGAGCCAAGAAACATAAGATACATTCTCAAAAATGCAAACTGGTCAGTCTGACATGTAAAATGTCAAATCAGCTCTCCCCACAACACAGGCTCCAGAAACCTTTATGACTTATACTAAAATAATATTTTTTTAGTATTTATGTGGCTGAGATGGTTAGCATTTTACTTCATTGAAACATGTTCAGAAGACACAGCCAGGCTAATACGGACTCCTGAAATACAACATTTTATTAATGCTTATTTTCATAGCTAACAGCTTCTCTGTTGGGACAAAGCAAGAGACTCAATCAATGCTGTTGACTAGTAAGTAAAAAAAAATTAAATTAAAAAAAATATCTTCTGAGTTTAAGTACAACTATTACCCCGTATACTACTTCTCTTTTTTGGGGGCACTAATATAAAGTTACAGTGCTTGAAAATACTCTTCTGTTGATTCCTGGTGACCTCTATTTCTATACCTCCTGCTGTAACCAAAGATATAATCCAAGTAGCTAATTACCAGTATCTAAAGGATAATGTGGAGATGAGATATTGATTTAGCTGTCTGAAACATGAGTATAGCTGGTTGAAATGTGACACTAACAAGCTGGAGTGAATTACAATTACAGTGTTTTCTGGTTTTAGATGACACATGTCATAACTGTGCCACTGGTCAGAATGAGAAGTAGTTAAAGGAGATATATGTATTCCAAACAAAAGCCACTGGGGTTTCTGGAAGTGGAACACGGGGCACTGCCTCCTGAGGAGTGGTTTGCCTCAAGGAACGCAGTCACTCAGAAAAGAATGAGTAACAAACTTTCTAAAAATCAGTGAAATTAAGAATAAAGCTTAGGATGCTTCAATCTTCTGTGAGTTCCAATTTGAATGAAGAGTTAATGTATTTCCCTGACTAAAAATAAGAACTCAGGAAAATACACTAAAAAAATCTTTGAGATTTAAAAAAAATAATTCATACATTTTATTTTTATTTTTATTTTTTGAGTTGGAATCTCACTCTTAGCCCAGGTTGGAGTACAGTGGCATGCTCACGGCCACCCCAGAGTCAACCTGCTAGTCTCAGGCGATCCTTCTGCCTCAGCCTTCCAAGTAGCCGGAACTACAGGCGCGTGCTACCACATGAGGCTAATTTTTTGATTCATCATAGAGATGAGGTCTTGCCAAGTTGCCCAGGTGGTTCTCGAAACTGTGGGCTCAGGCAATCCTCTCACTTAGGCCTCCCACAGTGCTGGGATTACAGACTTGAGCCACCGCGCCCAGCCCTCGAGATTTTTAACTATCAGAAAAATATTTTTAAATAGCTATAACAACACGAGAGGTGACAATGATTTCCAAGTTCCCCCCAATTGGTCTTCCTGCTATCACTACTACACTGTGCTGCACCCACAACCTCAAACCACTAACATAGTTATCAGAGGTCTTCCTAAGAGAACAAATCTTACAAAAATCACATGACTTCTTATGGCCCCCTATCATGACATGATGAAGTCTATATCGTTAGTATAATATATTCAAATCCTTCATAATGTAGCTCTTAGCTACTTCTATCTCTTCATCTTTAGGTGCACACAGTTTATTAAACCTAATAAATTTGTGCTTGCCTCTGTACAAATAAAAACATTCCTGAGCCCGCGGGTTCGAGACCTGCCTGGGCAACTTGGCGAGACCTCATCTCTACAATAAATTAAAAATTAGCCAGGCGTGGTAGCACGCGCCTGTAGTTCCAGCTACTTGGAAGGCTGAGGCAGAAGGATCGCTGGAGTCCAGCAGGTCGAGGCTGCGGTGGCCGGGAGTGGCCACTGCACTCCAGTCTGGGCGACAGAGTGAGACTCCAACTCAAAAAATAAATAAATAAATAAAAATAAAAAATAAAAACATTTATCAACAACTTGTATGTGAAAATTTACTATTTGCCTGTTTTCCCTTTTAGACTTATCAACTCTTGGAGGACAAAAAACTTGCTCGATTCATCTTTCAGTCTCTGGCTTAGCAAAAATATGTGGAGAATAAGGGTTTCTAATATGAATTCCTTAAAAGTAGAGACTATCTCTTTTCACCTCTGTCACTATCACCTAGAACAGTGTCAGGAATTTTCAGGAGCCAAATAAGTATTTTCTTTGAATATGCTTTGTTTGAACATGCTTTATTTCTTTCAATGACTTATTTACTATCTTAACATATTCATCAAATATTGAGTGCCTAATATGTGCTATTGTATTATACTGTACTTGATTAGAACTTTTGTAACTGCTTCAGGAAGTTGATAAAGTAAAATATACACAGATATAATATATACAAGAGTCATCTCCAATTATGACACTTGAGTGGACTGATTCCACTAGTATTTTACAGATCTTAATTTACATTTAAAATCTTCAATTATTTCTCAGTTTCGGTAATATCACATTTTGGAAACAGAAAATAGTTTTGATTAAAAAGTTCAGCTTAAGAATTCAGGGGGGGAATAAATGGTGCCAAAAGGAAAAGATTAAAACAAACAAACAACAAAAACAACAAAAAATTAGTAGCCACAAATGTATCCCAAGATTTAAAGTGTCCAAATTTGCAGATCAGGAGACTGAAATTGGACCAAAAATATATAAAAAAAACTGACAGTCTTCCAAAATTCAAAATAATTAATGCTAATGAAAGATTATATACTCTAACAGTGGTAATTTCATGAAATTAATAAGAAGTTCAGAATTTACTCTTTCTTACTCATGTACAGCTTGGAGATCTTATAATGTACTAGTTGTATAAAAAAGCAAAACTTACCCAAACCTCCCACCCCTGTAAATAAAAACTTTACAGTCAATATGAAAATTCCTACATGACTAGAGTTGACATTACCTACCTAAATAGTTTTGGAGGCAAGATACTAAATCGTGTTCTATCCAAAATTTTCCTGATTTTGTTTCTTCCACCTGAGACAGTATTTGCTTTAACTTTCTTATTTCCTTTCTCCTGTGATGTCTGTTCAATATCTCCTGGTACATCCTGGATAGAATGGCGATTACTTTTTTTTTCAGCAATTTTGGGAATATGAGGAACACCAGATTTCTCTTGTTCAGTCCTACTAAGTAACTCTTTGAACACTGTGGAAATAAATAAACAAAACTGTCATTTCTTTCTTCTCTTTAGAAGGTTTTTTTAATACCAACAACAAATTTTAAGGATAAATACAGTCACTTTCTATTACTTGGACTTTCACGTCCCTTTCAATTAAACATCAAATTTATGCCCATCCTTTATCAGCTACATCTACTTCATTTCTTCAATTTTTATACCTAACTATACTTCTCATGTTGTACAACAGTGATAAAATGAAGTCACTGGGGAAAATGGAAAGGAAGTGGGCAAGCTGCAGGCATGTTTGCAAAGTCCAGGCTCCTAGCCAGGCATGGTGGCTACACTTGCAATCCCAGCACTTTGGGAAACTGAGGTGAGAGGATCGCTTGAAGTCAGGAGTTCTGAGACCAATCTAGGCAACATAGCAAGGCTTCATTTCTGTTTTTAAACAGAAAGAAAAGAAAAATCCAAGTTCCTATTTCAGTAATAAGTAATATAGCTGGTAATGAACTAATTTTGTATAAATAGATATTCAGATTCTATTATTATGCTATTCTTCTACAGCCCACCCTTGAACAACATAGGTTTGAACTATGCAGGTCCACTTACATGCAGCTTTCTCCTAACCAAATGTGGATTGAAAATACAGTATTCTCAGAATGCAAAACCCATGCATGGCTCTGAAGAGTCAACTGTGGACCCGGGTATGCATAAATTTTGGTGTACACGGAGTGAGGGTCCTAGAACCTGCGTACACTGAAGGACAACAGCGTATGTCACTTGAGGTGAAATATAACTACTATAGCCAAGCTCAGTTTTACACAATTTAGTAATTTAAAAAGATGAGAAGGCTCTGCTGGCCTTTTTTTTTTTTTTTTTTTGAGTTGGAGTCTCACTCTGTAGCCCAGACTGGAGTGCAGTGGCTGCTCCCAGCCATCGCAGTCTCGACCTGCTGGTCTCCGGCGATCCTTCCGCCTCAGGCTTCCGAGTAGCCGGAATTACAGGCATGCGCTACCACGCCTGGCTGATTTTTGGATTTATTGTAGAGATGAGGTCTTGCTGCCCAGGTGGGTCTCGAACCCGCGGGCTCAGGCAATCCACTCACCTCAGCCTCCCAAAGGCACAGGATTACAGGCTGAGTCACCGAGCCCGGCTCGCTGGCCTTTTTTTAAAAAGAAAAATACCAGAAACAGTACTAACTTTGGTAATATATAACAACTTACTCAAGGTCACAATTATGATGCTTCTATCACTCATAAGCAGTTTATAAACATTCACTACAGTGATCTGAAGTAAACAACTAATCATATCTTAGATCCTTTTCTATCAACTCTAAGTCTGGTGAATGGCTTCATCCTTAATGAGGGTGCAGGTACATGTGGGGAACTGCCTGTCTAGATATCTCTGCCTAGACCCAATTTTCACCTTGTGAGAATGGGTATAACTCCCTGGGATCAGGCAAAGATAAATCTGTGTATCTAGATATACCTGGAGAAGTATGAATTAGAGAGAAATGGTGGCTGCATATTCTTGAAAACGGACTTAAAGGTCTTTAGCCACATGAGCTGCAAAACCAGTCAGCATATTATCAGGTGGAGTACTGAGCTATGTACTCTGTACCTTTATTTACAAAAAAGGGCTATAAGTCGTGTAAATGTGCCCACTGAAAACTCAACCACAGAGAAGGGTGATCTTTTGCTGTTTGGGGGATAAAAGACAGCAAGAGTTTCCCACAACACCAAAGAACTTACAAGTAAGATTGAAAAGCTATATTTTTGAAGTTTCACTTTATTTTTCAACCACATGGTAATGGTAAAAAATACTTTGCTAAATGCTTGCCTATTCCTCCTGCTGTAGAACTTACAGTCTACAGAGAGAAAACAATCAAGAGGAACTACCTAACATAGTGAAAATTGCCTTTAAGCCACCTTGTAAGAAAAGATCAGAAAGATGAGCAGATTTTAACTAGGCCAAAAAAAAAAAAAAAAAAAAGACAGAATGAATGATTCTAGGTAAAAGAAACCTCAAGTTCAAAATCCCTGTAGTTGAAGCTAATTTCAAGAAAATAAAAATGATTGTAGAACAAGGTAGAGAAGAGCCAGACAACGCTCTGCTAGCATATTTAAATTTTCTGCTAAGAGCAACAAGAAATCTTTGAAGGGGCAGTTTTCCCTGGCTATAGTGTGTATGTAAGGCAACTTAATAGATGAAAAAGGTTTATATTTACTCACTGAACTTGAGTATATAATCATAAATAAAAATTTGTGAAACTTGTGATTTGCAGATGAAGCAAAATCACTGTATGAAATTTTAAAAAGTAGTTAACGACAAAATGAAAGGAGAGTAAGTAAAGGCAATTACAGTGTCATTAAACAGTAATATCAGATATTGGTTATGGATCAGAAATAATGATGCCAAGAATGCTTACCACAGTTTCAACCTCCTGGGCTCAGGCAATCCTCCTGCCTTAGCCTCCCAAGTAACTGGGTCTACAGCCATGCACCACTGATGCAGGCTAACTATTTTATTTTTTATAGTGACATGGTCTCGCTATGTTGTTCAGGCTGGTCTCGAACTCCTGGGCTCAAGCAATCCTCCCACCTTGACCTCTCAAAGTGCTGGGATTCAGGTATGAGCCACCACACCTGCCCCACTGGGAGTCTATTGTCAAAGGAGGCTCAGTCTCTCAGCTGCCTTTTCTGTACTTGTAAATGACTCAGTGCAGTTGTGGCTTCAGTTTACCTCTTCAAGGTCCAATTTCCTCTCTGTTCTACATCATGTAGTTTTTCACTACCTTTTTGGATTTTTATGCTTGCCTGCTATTTATAGCTACTATTTATATTTAGTCTAGATCTTTTAGTTGTTTTTTAATTTATTTTATTCAGATCACAGTAAGCCCTCTGAATTAGAAGAGTCACAGCTTTCTTTCATTCTTGGATACTCTCTGCTATTATTTCCTAAATACCTTCTTCACATTTTCTCTGAGATCTTCTGAAATAAGGCTTACTTTTATTTTACCTTTTTGTTCTATAGTCTGGGAAATTTTCTCAACTTTATTATCTATTCCTTCTATTGAATGTTTTTGTCTTTGTCTTTAAAGTCACATAAAAGTTACTTCTTTCTCAATGATTGTTGTTTCTTCTTTCCTAACATCCTGTTTTAGTTACAAGGGATGAATTTTTAAATCGTTCTTAAAAGAGTTCTAGAAATGTTTTCTTCTCTTCTTTAAATTAAGTATATTCTCTAGACTCTATCTGTAAAATCGCTTATTAGGTCCCCACCACGCCTCCTCAACAATTCTGGTTCTCCTTGTGCTTGGTGATCCCTGTCAGTTTTAAGCAATACAAAATGACCAGGTGTGACTTGCTCTAGTATCATTTGAACAAATGTTTTTTGGTCACAGCTTCTTTTTTTGTAGGTAACTTAACTGCTCAAATCTACTTCATGGTGATGGCAAAGTTACTAGGACTTTATTGTAGGCATCACATCCAGACTAAAAATGCTCCATTTTTACAAATGTTTTACACATATCCTTTGGAGATACTCCTTGGTGTTTTGCTTGGCTGACTGCATTCTATCTAGGGTAAGGAAAGAACCGCTGAACCCTTTTGCAGCACCATGTAACTCCTACTATCACATTCAGTCTAGGGTTCTGTTGGGCAACTGTTTTCTTACCACTCAAAGAGTTCTGAGGGTGTGGCTTCCCTGCTTTTGCATCCTTCAAATCTACTTTTCTGCCTCTGTTCACATTAGTATCACACCATCTCCATATTTTTACACATAAAATTTAGTATTAGTTAGTAGACATTATGTGACAGGTATAAAAGGGTCTAAAGGTATTAGATCCTTATAAGAAATCCACAAAATAAAGCTGAAGAAACTAAAGTTTGGAGAGACTAAATAATCTGCCATAGTGACAGAGCAAATTCTGCTTTCATATTTTTCAAAATTGAAATCCCTTTACTTTAACCTAAAAGTAGACATTTCTAGATACTAGTCCAAATTCCAGGAAATCAAAAAATTCTGAAGGCTCATTTATTCCATGCTAAAGTAATATCAGATTAGGAAATTGCCAATAGACAGTTGTATATTAGATTTAATATAATGTGATAGAGTTAAAGGGACTCAAACAGAAAGAGGAAAAAACTACCAAATATTTCATTTTTCGTTATGACTAAGCACAGTATAAGAAGAAGCCAAAGTGAAAACAATAAAACTCACACTTCCTTTCCAAAGGCACAGCTTTTAAAGTCAACTCTTACTTCTCAAATTGCAAGCTAAATAACCTAGAGGAATCTTTTTCCTCCCTACTTCATAAGGATGCTTAAATTTTTTTGATGTTTCAATTGGTGTACTGTTTTTACTGTTGCCCTCAGAATTTCAGCAAAAATCCTATGAAACCAAATGACAGTAAATCTTTCCTATAAGTTTAAAAGGTAAACAGTGGATTTAGTTAAAAGTATGAACTTAGTCCTTGCTTTATTCAAATATAAATGTGATTAAAAATATAATACATTGTAATCAACACTTTTAAATAAAAAGGTAGAGAATGCTATTATTAAAAATCTGTAATTCACTGATTATTTAAATCAATGCTTTACTCAATATATTTTCATTACACAACTAATCTGGTATTCACATTACTTCAGAAAACTAGCTTAATGAATAGAAATAGACTGAGTTGTACATTAGCTGGGAGGAAAAAGGCCTGATTAAGATTTCTAAGTTTTTATTTAGGTCATTTTAAGTTTAGTTCAGTATAGTAAACAATACATGCTCAATATACATTTAATAAATGACTAACTGAATGTACACACATTTTAAAACTTACATTCTATCAAAATAATAAAAACAAATAATGAAAAATGAAAATTCTAGAATACATATTAGAACACTAAAGATACTAAGAGTAGCTTACCCAAAGAAATGTTTGTATTTTTCTATCTACCCTTTCACTGTAATGACCTTTCTATTAACAACAATGGTAGGCTTTTACAACAAAACTCACCAAAAATGTTGGTCTTTACAGTAAGTGCAAGATGAGTATTATTCCTCAAAATTTCAAGGGCCTTCACAAATGTAATATTCTCAAAGTTTTGTCCATTTACTTCCATTATCTTAAGAGAAAAGCATTTGAAAAATACATATTAAGCTAGAACAGTATTAATTACAACCTCAGAAGTTTAATACTAAAAAAATTAAATGGAACTTGAATAAAATACACTCATGTGTGAACAATGACTATCTCTGCGATAAGTTGACTGTAATTATTTCTCTGTATTGTTGTATCTCACAAATTCTCTGATATAAATATTTTTTTATAAGTTTAGTCCCTCTGGGATCAAATTAAGGAAATAAAAAAAATCCAACAGAATGGCATATTATATATGAAGAAATATTTTTCATCACGTCAGATTAACTCATGAAAATTACTGCCTACATATGTATATACACATTGCCATAAAATATTTTAAATGTGAATATGCTGCATTTCAAAGAGCGGTGAGTGATAAAAAGGGCACTCTAAACATATTTAATATCATTTCCCACCACTGTTTAAATCAGGCAGCCAAAGAGCAAAAAGCACAATTGAGATGGGTTCTTCTTCCATGTAAACACTCTGACCCTTCACAACAGGGCTTCTGCAATATGGTTATACCTCAGTCCCACAGAAGCATCATATTTTTTAAAATATTGATTCTAAGGGAAAAGAATACAAAGATAAAAAACATAATGAGCAAAAAACAAGGAGAACAGAGAACAGATCTAAAGAATTGACATAAAAATTTCAAAAGCGTAAGAGTGTGAAAAAATATTAGGAAAAGAAAAACAATTCTACAGCAACAAAATTCCCAAAGTTGAAAAAAGATTGGCATGTACATACTAAAGTGGCTCATTTACTACTATGCAAGATCAAAAAAAGATCTTTTTTTAAACTTACTCAGTGAAATATAAACATCACTATGGGAAAGGAAAAAACAAAACAAAACAAAACAAACACACACAAAGGTATCTACAAAAGAAAAATAAAGGTTGAAGTCAGGTTGTGGTGACTTGCACCTGTAATCCCCAGCGCTTTGGGAGATCAAGGTGAAGGACTGCTTGAGTCCAGGAGTTCAAGACCAGCTTAGGCAAGATAGCAAGACCTTGTCTCTACAAAAAAATAAAAATAAAAAAATTAGTTGGGTGTGGTGGCACACGTACCTGTAGCCCCAGCTACTTGTGAGGCCCAGAAAGTTGAGGCTGCGGTGAGCCTTGATTGTGCTATTGCACTCTAGCTTGGGTGACAGAGTGAGACCTTGCCTCAGAAAAAAAAAAAATAAAGGTTGGTTTGGACTGCTCTTGGGTAACACTAAGATGACATGACAATTTTCCATGATTTCAATGTCCTGAGAGAAAATCACTCTTAGAAAAAAAACCTTACATGCCACTGAACAAAAGTATCTTCAGACATGCAAGGACATACAAAATTACAATACTCACTGGGCTTTAAAAAAAAAACTAAAAATACCTGAAATGAATCAAAATAATGGGGACATATGGTACAGATGAAGTAGAAGTGATCAATAAAATCAGTAAAACTGGTGTAAACGTCTATGATTGTTATAAGCTCATGAAACTTTTTTTAAAGGGGTTGGATTCTCTCACTGTAGCTCAGGCTGGAGTGCAGTGGCATGCTCACAGCTGCCAGTCTCAACCTTCAGGGTTCAGGCAAGCCTTCTACCTCAAGTAGCTGGAACTACAGGCATGCACCACCATGCCTGGCTAATTTTTTGATTTGTAGAGATGCAATTTTACTACATTGTCCAGGCTGGTCTTAAACTCCTGGGCTCACACAATACACCCACCTTGGCTTCCCAAAATGCTGAATTACAAGCATGAGCCACAGCGCCCGACCTGAACACATTTTGAAATGGGATACACTAAGTTTCTGATGGTCATCTAAATTTGGGACCTCCCCCACCTTGGGGTGTATGAGAACATCTAGAGCAGGAGTCCCCAACCCCTGGGCCACTGACTGCCTGTTAGAAACTGAGCCACATAGCAGGAGATGAGCGGCAGGCAAGTAGCTTCATCTGTATTTACAGTCACTCCCCATCACTCAGATTACCACCTGAGCTCCACCTCCTGTCAGATCAACAGTGGCATTAGACTGTCATAGAAACTTGTGAACTGCATATGTAAGAGAGCTAGGTTACGAGCGCCATATGAGACTAGGCTGCGTGCCTGATGATCTGAGGTGGTGATGTTAGCACTGGGGAGCGGCTGCAAATGTAGATTAAATATTGGCAGTGAGGTTTGACTATACAGAGACCATAATAAATCAATTGCTTACAGACTCATATCAAAACCCTATTTGTGAGTGGCAAATTAGTTGATGTACTTTGCATTGCACAGCTGCAGCTGGTGGCAGGCTTTAAGTTAGAATCTGACACTTATTTTAGTTTGCACATGACCCACCCATTATTTTATTTACCACTTCTGTCTGAGTCTCTTTTTATTTTTATGATGAACTGTATAATTATTCCATTATATATTACAAAGTGCAAATGAATGTTATGCACTCAAATTATCTTCAAAAAAATTCAACCCCCATCCCCTTGTCTGTGGAAAAATTATCTTCCACGAAACTAGTCCCTGATGCCAAAAAGGTTGGGAACTGCTGATCTAGAGAGCTCTGTTAAAAATACATACTCTGGTCGGGTACAGTGGCTCATGTCTGTAATCCCAGCACTTTGGGAGGCCGAGGCAAGAGGATTGCCTGAGCCCCAGAGTTTGAGACAACTTGAGCAACATGGCAAGACCTCGTCTTTAGAATAAATAAATTAGCCAGGCACGGTGACGTGCAATTGTATTCCCAGCTACTTAGAAGGCTGAGATGGAAGGATGATAACCTGAGCCTAGCAGGTAGATGCTGTAGTAATCATGATTGTGCCACTGCACTCCAGCCTGGGCAGCTGAGTTAGATTCTGACTAAAAGCCAACCAACCAACCAACCGATTCCCAGACTCCATCTCTTAAGCATGTGGTTAATATGATTAACAGGACTAAAGTAAGCCTGAGAACTCCTTGTGTTAAAATAGACCACTCTATACTTAATGCAAATTCCTCCCAGTGTCTCCTTTTTCCTAGTCCCTCACTTGGCTCCATTATGCTCTGGATGTAGTTATGTTACTGTATAAACATAATTTAATGATTACCATCACTTATGGTAATCTTTAGCCACTTACATTTGAGAGTGCTATGAGGCAGAAGTTTCTCTTCCTTTAAAACTTGCAAGGATGCTAATTCATATATTGATCTTTCTGAAGTATTCTGAAGTTACCAACTTCTATAGTATGTTTCCTAACCAGTGAAGGATAGGCAGGCCCATTCAAAGGAGGTCATGCTGACAGAGCCCAGCAAACCATGTTGCTTTTGGCCATACTATACCAAATTTTCCATTAAAAGACAAATACATTTACTAAATAACCCATATTTAGATACTACTTCTAAAAAAAAAATGTCTTTAATTAATCATGTTTACTTGATGTTGCATGAGAACAAAAGCAGTAGACACGCTACTTATAAGAAGGCTTTGAGCTAAGTGGCTGGTTATTTACTTACCTGATCACCACGTTTCAGTCCTGAATCAGCAGCTTTGCTACCAGGTTCTACTCCTTCAACAAAAATACCAAATCCCTTATCACTTCCTCCACTGAGGCTGAAATGCAGAGGAGACTCACGGGAAGCCTTTTGCAGCACAACCTGTCTCCACTTAGCCTTTGCAGCACAGGCAATATTCAATAATCGGAGGTGACCATTCATTTTCTGTAAAATAGAAAAGGGTAAATGCATATACGTTTATCTATTCCTATAGGTTTTTAAGAAGTCATCTAAAATCATTAGAATTAGAGCTATAAGGACTAAATAACATACAAGCTGGGGTAAATAAAACTGAAGAAGGGGCACTTCTATCTCAGAGCATTCTCAAGAACAAGATCTCATGATATGATTTTAAAGATACTCAGATAATCACAGGTTAGAAAAGACTTCCAAGTTATGTCTCATTTACAGAGGGATGACAATAAATTACTTCATATTTCCTAAACTTTCCTATCTTGTTTATCTACTGACTGCTACATAAATTCAGAATCTTTTAAAATTTTTATTCAAACCTAGAATGACTTGAACCACCTTTACAAATAATGTCTAATGTTCAAAGATACCCCAAGTTTTCACCTTTTCCAGAAAGATTTCTTATCTTATTTTTTAGACTCAGTAAAATTCTAACTTCCAGGTTCTAATAGCAGTTCAATATTCAATTATTCCCAAATTTCACACCCATAACAAAAAACTAAAGTTTTCTTCGGAGTAGGGACCAAGTCTTATACTTGTTCTGATCCTACATAACATCTTAGAGAGTATAAAGCAGAATTTAATAATAAATATTGACTGATTACTAAAAAAAAAAAAAAAAAAAAATCCCATCACTATATGGCAGTTTCCACATTCCAATTTCCCTTGAATATCCAACATAGTCAGCAATGAAAGAGCCAAATGATGGTGGAGTGCCTATGTAACTCTTTAATCAATTTCCCAGTCCCCAAAAAAGAAGAAATATTTTCAGACTGGATAAAACAAAATCCCACCATATGTTATCTATAAGAAACACACCTAAACATATTCTGCTGATACTAAGTTTTAAAATAGGCAAAACTAAGCCACTGTGTTGTGGAATACTTGTGTAAATGGTAAAGATGTGAGGAGTAAAATTAAGAAAATGATTATCACACACACAAAAAAACAGCAACGAACTTGTGGTAATTGTTTGACAACGTATACATATATCAAATCACCACACTGCATACTATACAATTTTTATTTGTTAATTATATCACAATAAAGCTGGGAAACATTTTAAAAAATTCCCAGTCCCTGTTTATTTTCATTTTGCCCAGAACAGATGTGCTCTTGAGAAGTCTACAGGGACCAAGAGGTAAGGAAAGGGACCAAATCTAACAATTTTTCACACTTCATTCAACTCAATCCACTTATACTCTAAGTAACAACTACAATTCTTTAGCATTTGCTATGTGCTAGCTTTTTTTTTTTTCAGACTGTTATGATCATTAACTCATAATCCTCATAAAAAATCTCAGTGAACTAGGGACTAATATATTTACAAATAGCACAACTGAGGCATAACATTAGGTCACTTACCCAAATTTACATATCTAGCCAGTGGTGAAATTTGAACCATAATTTAGGTAATCTAATTTCTGAGCTATACTCTTGAACTACTATGCTGCATTATTATTTATTTCCTAAAATTTCAAGTTTCTTGGAGTATATAACCCAGTTGCAGCTCAAAGTTTTATATATGACAGGGAGAATAAAATAAATTTCTATGCTACTCTGGACCTTGAGGAAATTATCTTAGGTACTGTATATTTACAACAGGTAAAAATCACATGCAAAAGGAAGACCTAATAAGTCTTAAAACAGATCTGATATATAACATTTACATTGATAGCTGCAAAGAATTTCAAATAGCAGGGCCAGGAGAAGAGAATTCCAGCATGGATTGGATGCAGAATTGAGAAAGAACATAAAACAGTCTGGTATGGCTATATTCTAGGGTACACAGAAAAAAAGGCCAAAAAGATAGATGAGGGTTGTGAATATATGGGTGAATAACTACTGATAGGAAACATGGTTTACTGACAAAGACGTTAACAGTCACCATATGTGTGGACCAGAAAGAGAGACTAGAACTAAAAATCACTTAGTAGGCTATTATATAATAGCTTAGGTATAATGAAATAATGAGGTCCTAAACTGGAGACAAAAACAAAAACAACAACAAAAAAGAAAGGCTGAGAAAAAAAAGAAATATATAAATATATATAGGTATAAACATGCCTAAATTAGTGACCTGGGTGACTTTAGCAACTCTTTGGACATTTTGGTCAGGAAATTCAAAGAAAGAGAAAGGGGGTCCACATATAACACCAGTGCTTAGAAGCCTAGGTAACTAAGAGTTAAGAACGTTATCAGTTTTAAAACAAAAACAGAAGAGTTAGGAAGAAGTGTGATTCTGGTTTGAATTAGCAAAAGTCTGGAATATAGATTTAGAAGTTCTCGGAATAGATATTTAAGACACAGAAGAAGATGAAAGTTGTTGCTGCTCTGAGTTGCTGTTCTTGATAGGGGAGGGGAACTCCTAAACTCTGAAGAAAATAAATTCTTTTAAGCCTTACTGTATCTTCCAGGTTTTTTTCAAATTCCTCTAGAAATTGAGTCATAGCAGGATCGCCTTCAAAATCATTAAAATGGTTATTTACCCATAATAACACAATCCGTGTCACCTGTGGAAGCATAAAGGAGGCAGCATATGGTTAGCAGAGTCATTCTTTCTGCAGAAGTAGATTTCAAAAACATGTCCAAAACTGAGAGGCACTTGAGCTTTATGGTTAACCTTCTTGCCTCCTCTCTTGTACACAAAAGGCTTATTCCAATAAAAAGACATGGTTTCGTTGTGCTTTTGCTTTCTAGGGTACACAAGTAACAGAGCCAGGACTCTGTGTGCTGTGAGAAGACATAAAACCCATATGCTAAGATGTAAGAAGTAAAGAGGATACATGTTTCAGATAGCAACTTAAAATGCAAACTTCATATAATAAATGAAGGTAATCCTATCAATAAAAAAATCAAAAGTGTTTCCAATCAAGAATATGTTTAACCAAAACCGCAACAAAAACCAAATCTGAAACTTCCTTCATTATGAATACTGTACATTTTCAAAGTGGTGAATTGATCTGTTTACTTTGCTCCATAGATTAAAAGAAAAGTTAAAATTAACAAATATAAGTTGATTTGAATAATGTGCCTAACAGAATAAGCAACGAAAATTATGTTTTTTAAAGTTGTGGTAGAATGCGTTTAAAATTCATCATTTTAACCACTTTAAAGTACATAATTCAGAGGCATTTAGCATATTCACAATGTTTCACAATCACCACCACTATGTAGTTCAGAATTCTGGAACATTTTCATCATCCCCAAAGAAAACCCCAAACCCATTAAGCATCACTTTCCTTTTTGCCCTCTATTCAGCCCACTAATCTGCTTTTCTTTCTCTGTTATTTGTCTATTCTTGGTATTTCATGTATATAGAATCACATAATATGTAGCCTTTTATGACAGGCTTCTTTCACTTAGCATATTTTCAAAGTTCACTGATGCTTAGCAAGTATCAGCACTTAACTTCTTCTTATAGTTGATTAATGTTATTGTATGTATATACGGTTGTTCCCACCTTTTGGCTACTGTCAATAGTGCTGCTATGAATATTTATGTCTAAGTTTTTGTTTACACATGTGATTCCAGTTCTTTGGGTATATACCTAGGAGTAGAACTGCTGGGTTATATGGTAACTCTCTGTTTAACTTTTTGAAGAAGTATCAAACTGTTTTCCACAGAGGCTATACCATCTTACACTTCCATAATCAATGTGAGGGACTAAAATTTCTCCACATCTTTGGCAATGTTTGTTATTTTTCATTTTTTTCCTTTTTACAAAGTCATCCTAGAAAGTGTAAAGTGGTATATTATTGTGGTTTTGATTTGCATTTTCCTATGACTAAGATGTTGAACATCTTTTATGTGTGCTTGCTGGGCATTTATATATCACCTTGGAGAAATGTCTATTCAAGTCGTTGGTTCACTTTAGAATTTTGTTGCTTGCCTTTTTGCTATTGAGTTGTAACGGTTCTTTATATATTCTGGATACTAGGCCTTTATCAGATATATGGTTTTCAAATATATCCTCCTGTTCTGTACGTTGTCTTGGCTTTCTTGATAGCGTCCTTTGATACCATAAATGATTTTAATATTGAAGTCCAATCTATCTACTACTTGTTACTTGTGCTTTGGGTGTCATAAGAAACCTTAGAATTATAGCTTTAGCTCTTATATTTAGGTCTATGATGCATTTTGAGATTTTTGTACATGGTGTAAGGTAAGGGTCTAATTTCATTCTTATGCATATAAATATCAAGTTATTACTAAATCACATTTTGTTTATTCCCTAAGCATGCCTTTATTTTCTTGGCAACTGAAGTAGAAATACTTAATTCTAAAAAAGGGGAAAGGGGGAGAAGATTAGGCCTGCTGTTTTAGACACTTTAATCTCCTAATAGAATTCCACAGTCTAACTGCATACAATGTATTTACTTTAAAACATTACTTAGAAAGTCACACCAGGAAATCATGATCCTAATTGTTATTTTCTGAAAACAACTTACTTCCTACCAATTTCCCGAGGTATTACTAGTTTCCATATCCCATGAAATAAAGCAACATAGTTTATTTAACATAGTAAACAATGTTTAATGCAAAAAAAAATACCCAAAGGTGATTTAAATTAGTCACATTAGAGATAAATTAAGGTGTGACAAATAGTTTTCAAATGATTATAAAGCCTATAACTCAGGAAAGTAAAGATATTCCTATTTTGAAGCTTAAAAACAATCTAAGCCCTCTCAAAAATTATTTGATGAAAATTCTTACTAAATTGTTGATCAGCTTTTAAATACTTTACTGATCTTCAGAAACAACCAACTATTTTGGTAAAATTCTAAAATGCTCTCATGCAGCTATCATGTCTCCTAAATTTATAGCTACACCATGGCTTTATTTCAGTTTTTGACTTTTAAGGGTCTTATCCACTTCTAAATGCTATCCTGTCAAAAAAATAACTAAGCAGAAAAAATAACTAAGCCTATGTTACTAATTTTCCTAGGTGAACTGAATCTTGTTCTCAAAACAAACATTTTTTTCTATCAACTCCAAAAGTTTTCATGAATAAAATTTAAGTTAAAAATACTTTCGTGAATGTGCCATGGCATTCCAGTCTGAACGACAGAGACTCCAATTTAAAAAAAAAGCAAACAAACAAACACTTTCATGCCATTTATAAAACCAACCTTATCTCTCAAGCTGTCAATCTTAAACCACTCCAACAGTTTGATCCCAACATCCAAAGGACTTTCAAGAAATGTCCTATAAGTTAGTAGAAAATCTTCTATGTAAGTTGGATCCACAATGGAATGCTCCTCTACTAAATGCATGATGAGACGCTCAGGTGTTGCCTAAAAATCCAGGGATAGAAAAAAATTGGAATATAGATAGCTCAGAAACCAAGAAGTATTGCTGATTACTCCTTTTTGTAGCCACTCCACTAGACAAGTCCTCAAAGTTAGAGTTTCACCTTTAAACCCCTACCACTGTGAGAAGGTAGTTTTTCTAGGTTGTAACCCAGCAGCACCCAGAGGTTTAGAGAGAAAAGGCAGATGAGATGAATAAACACCCAACAGCATTTACTCAACTGCAGCTGTTTTCACTGAATTTTCATCATAGCAGAGCCTCTGAACTTCAATGATTTACTACCGGCATGGGTCACTTCCGCTATAATAGGGTCATGTAATTGTCTCAAGACAACAAAAGCAGTGACAGCTGAACTTAAAAAAAAAAAAAAGGAAAGAAAAAAAAGCCCTCCTCCAAATTTCATTGACTTCAAAATCTCTTCTGCCCAGGCTACAGGAAGAGCACAGCAGTTCAAGACAGTCTGTTTTACCGTTGTAACTTCCCAAAACAGAAGTTTCCTCTTCTATAGTTTCTCCATGCTAGTTCACCATCTTTGAGAGGAACCACAAGTTCTACAGTTTTTTAATTAATCGAGAGTTTAAAATATTTGCCTATCTCCAAATTTATAAAAGAGGAAGGTAGCTTCTGTACCAATGTTAAATTTATTACATTTTTTAGGTTTTTCAAAAGTGGGTACACAAAACAAATACAGAAATAAACCAGATGTTAAGTCTGATATCCATAACCCCCACCTTCAGTTTGGCCATTCATCCAATTTCACTGTTCAGAAAAACTGTTAAGCATATATTAAGACAAACAATGTCCTTACGTAAGAATTTACTTTTTTTAAAGGTACTCATTGTTAACAAGGTATATAAATAATTTATCTAGAAGGAAGTCAGAAATAAGGCTCTTCATGTAACCTACTTAAGAGACAAGAAACCATAGGTCATTACTATTTTCCTACACTCCAAAATACTCTACACCCAAGAGTACCAAATTGGGTTTATTATTCAGGCCAACCCAGGTTTAGTCACTTAATTCTGGCCTTTAGATCATGTATATAGCTAAGTCATGGGTGGAAAATGATTAATGTGTTAAAGACAGGCCATTATTCTGATTGGCTGAATCACTGAGGCAGGGTCCCTACAGAGATTATGACAGACATTCAAAGTTTAATTTACAGATGAGCCCCATAATCAAGCAGAGGCATGTCACCAATGTGCTCGCTAGCATCCAAGAAGGTGGAATACTGGGAGACAGGGTATACAGAGGTAGCAGGCAGAAGAGATGACTGGTGTGGTTATACTAGCATGACAAGAGATTGGTTACAATGAGCCACTGTTGGAGAAGGTATTTACAAACATGGAAGGGGAAAGCATACGGAAAACCCTATGGTACAATATTGGAATTGGAAGTATCATCATAAACAAATGGTTGTTTACTATATATGAGTTACATGTGTATGTGTTTATAATAAACAATATATTTTCTAGCTCTGTTTGATGAAAGGCTCTAAAAGCAATGATACCCCAGCACAATGAATATAATGAATGCCCAGATCTTGGTTTATAAATGCTATCCTCTACTAGAAAGATCCAGGGCTCTCTGGAAAAACGGCTGATTTCAGCGCTGGAACAGAGAAAGCTCCAATGAGCCTCATTATTTGCCAGATTATAAGGAAGTGCTCAAAGAATGATACAGACATGTCAAGGTAATACAGAGTCAGTCTGAGGACAGTTCCACTGGTAAGTCTGGGATAATTTGGGCATTAGAATAATTCTTCTGATGGTAACACAAGTCTATACCAATATAAATAAATTAATGAAACAGAATAGAGAGCTATTTCTTACAGTAAAATGACAGCTAATAAATGTAGGAGAAATCCTAGAAAAAGAATATTACCATTTCAGTCAAGAGTGGTCAATGAAAATAAAGACTGATGGATAGATATTTGTATGTTTGTCAGGCACTGTGGCTCACACGTGTAATTCCAGAACTTTGGAAGGCCAAAGCAGGAGGATTGCTTGAGGCCAGGAGTTTGAGACCAACCCAAGCAACAAAGTGATAACCCTCTTCGATAAAAAGTTAAAATCAACCAGGTATGGCGGTACATGCCTGCAGTCCCAGTACATGGGGAGCTAAGGAGGGATGATTTCTTGAGCCCAGGAGTTGGAGGTTGCAGAAGCTATGATTATGCCACTGTACTCCAGCCTGGGTAACAAAGTGAGACCTCATTTCCTTAAAAAAAAAAAAACAACGAAGTTTCTATCTAGTGCTCACCACCAATTAACTACAGGTTTGTCGACAATGCATTGATACTATCGCAGAACCTCTCTTCAAGCTGGGTGTGGTGGCTCATACCTGTAATCTCAGCACTTTGAGAGGCCAAAGTATAAGGACTGTTTGAACCCAGGAGTTCAAGAGCAGCCTAGGTAACATAGCCAGACCTCATCTCTACAATAAGTCAAAACATTAGCCAGGTGTGTGGTGTGCCTATCATCTCAGATATTCGGGAGGTAAAGTGGAAGGACCACCCGAGCCCAGGAGTTGGAGGCTGTCGTGAACCATAATCATAGCACTGCACTCTAGCCAGGACAACAGAATGAGACCTGGCATAAAAAATAAAAAAAAATTTCTCTACCAAGTAATTACCAGTATCAGAGGGTTACCCTTTGACTTTACAATGAAAATAGGCAGAAGACACCAACATGAGCAGGTCATCAAAGTTAACTTCATCACTGGTGGGACAACAGGTTGACATCATGTGCACCCTGATATGAGCTCTGAGAAGAGCTCAATACCTTTTGTGAAGTTCCTGCCAGAAAAGTATGACTCGAATCTGTAAAAACCAGCTTAGAAAAAGATAAAAAGGCCAACCCGTTTATTTAAATCGAATTCCAATATTGTTAGTGAATTATCTTGCACTATCCGGTCAAGAGAAAACACTAGAAAGATTCAGGTGGAGGGTGATATAAGACCTGTATTCTTTAAAAGTGCTGAGGATATGAACATCAGGGAAACACTGAGGAACTGGTGTAGACTGAGCAACTAAATGCAACTGTGTTCCTGGGTAAGATCCTAGGCCAGAAATGAAAAAGAGATACTGTTGGGACACTTGGTGGAAATCTAAATAGGGTCTTTGGACTAAATGGTCTTATTTAGCAACATTTGCTTCCTAATGTGAAGGATTCTATGGTGTTGATATAAGAGAGTGTCCTTGTTTTTGGGGAATACAGGCTGGAGTGCAGTGGCATGCTCACAGCCACCGCAGTCTCAACCTGCTGGGCTCAGGTGATCCTTCCACCTTAGCCTTCCAAGTAGCTTAACTACAGGCATGCGCCATCATGCCTAGCTAATTTTTGTTGATTTACTGTAGAGATGGGTCTTGGCAAGGTCTAGAACTCATGGGCTCAGGCAATCCTCTCACCTTGGTCTCCCAAAATGCTGGGATTATAGGCGTGAGTCACTGTGTCAATTACTCTAGTTTATATTATATTCAGAGGTCTCTAAAGAGACAAGGAAGGGGGAAGGCAAAGAGTAGAGAAAGGCAGAACTTAGAGAAGGGAAAACCGTATGGGGATTAATTCTCAGACTCTACAATGGTGCTAAGGCTTCTGATTATTTAGCCATAATAAAGTCTTGTTGTATTACCTTCATTTTCAGATAAGAAAGTGAGGTTCAGAGAAGTCAATACCTATTTCAATTTCATAGAGTTCCAGCAAGCACATTACATCTTCACCTAGGATTTCTTATGCCTTTATGACTCTTCCTTAAATTTTCTGTTTTGTTTCTAAATATTGCTGCCGTTGATGAAATCAATTCCCATTATCAGTAGATTATAAAACAAAATTGAGAATGAAAACTCTGACCATTATATTTTAAAATACCCTACCCATTCTGTTATTAAATGGCAAAGTTATCCTTAATTAAAATGTGTAAAAACCAGCTTAGAAAAAGACAAAAGGACCAACAACTTTATTTAAATCAGATTTCAATATGTTGGTGAATTATCTTAAACTGTTCAAAAAGCGGTTAATTAAGATGAAAGCTTTATTCTATCAGACACTAGAATAATAAGTAAAAGCACCTACCTTGATTACAATGTGTCCTTTTCTGGTTCCACTCCGGTCTAGTTCACGATGCTCATGCACCATAACAATTTCTCCCTCTTCCTCAACTTTATGAGTATTTTTTTCCACATGATTTAAAATTCTCCAATAATCCTGCTGGGCTATACAGACAAACTGTCCAAGAACAACATGGGGACAACTAATGAATCTATAGTACATAAATATATCACTATGCACCAAAACAGAGCACAAAGGTAAGAAATCTAGAGGCATCAGTTATTTTTCATTCGATTCCTTTAATCTGTAATAAAAATCAAGGTAAGGCAATTCATGCACAAAGAGACTAAAAAAGTCCAATCTGTTTGAATTCTGGTCTTTAAAAGGAGAAGTGAACATCTACTTCTCTCAAAACTGACACAATGCAAAGAAAACATGAAGCAGGAGTAAGTTAGAAACAAACAACCGGGAAGTTCCTATTTCTTTCCTTTATTTAAAAAAAAAAAACTGAGTTGGCTAATATCAGATAGAAATGTAACAAACGAGAACTTATTTTATATATTCCCTTTTTGAAAATGCATAGCTTGCTTAATGTCATAAATATCTGAGGCATATACAAAATCTAGTTTTCTTTATTAACTGTGAGCTACTGAAACTCATAATTCTCAAACAAAGCTATTTTGGGGTGGGGGGGAGAACAGGCTCAGTCATTTAAAATCAACAAAAAAGCAAGAATACTTGACCAATGAGATAAGTTTACCTGACAATCATCTACTTTAGTCCTGACAATTCCATGCATGTACTGCTTATCCAGAGTGGGAGTAATTCCAAAACTATTTCCCATAAACAAATTTTCAATTTTTCCATCTGGATGACTGATTTCTACAGTGCCATTTAAAATAACATACCATGAGTCAAGCTACAGAGAAAAAAACAAGGTTTTAACAATTTTTTAACTTTGAAAAGCATACACACATACAAATATTTATATACATAACTTGCATTATTTAAAAAAGAAAAAAGAGGCTATATTACTAAATACTGTCAGTAACAACCTATGCCTTGTCTATGCAAACCACTAAAGTTTATTTTACTCTTTCTTTTTTTATTCACCAAATAAGGATTTTCATAATTGACCAACTTTTCTGAGATAAAATAGTGTAATATTTAAGACTACAAACTCTTGGAATGTTAATCCAGACTCTGCCACTGACTAGCAGAATGACTTTGGACAAGTTATTTAACTTCTCTGGGCTTCAGTTTCCCTACTGCTAAAATGGTCTATTATCAGTATCTATGAAACAGTATCTATCATAGAATTACTATGTTAATTAAAAGAGTTAATACATACTAAGTACTTAGAACAGTGACTGGTACATATCAAGCATTAAAAAGATAGCTTAAAAAATAGATAACTAAAGATTAATTCAAATAGACTGGTAAAAACCTAACTTTTAAGGCACATCTAACAAAATAAAACATTCAAAATATCTCCTGATGTTAAGAAAACATTGCCTGAATTTACATGGAAATATTTAATGCCCCAGGAGATATATCTTATGTTATCTCACTTTGTTGCCCAGCCTTAAGTGCAATGGTGCAATCATAGCTCACTGAAGTCTTAAACTCCCAGGCTCAAAAAGTCCTCCCATCTCAGCCTCCAGAGTAGTTAAGACTATAGATGTGTGCCACCACACTCAGTTAATTTTCTAAATTTTTTTTATAGCAGATGGTGTCTCACTATGTTGTATAGGTTGGTCTCAAATTCCTGGTCTCATGTGTTCCTCTCACCTCAATCTTCAAGTTGCTGGGATTACAAGTGTGAGCCACTGTGCCTGGCTCCAAGGAGATATATTTTTAAAGGTCTACTATATATAAATGAAAGACTACTTACTGTCCTTTAATACCCAACTACTCTTATAAGTCTAAACTTTCAATGGTTTTAATGTAATTTAAGGAAAATCTAGATTACAAGCTCTAAGGGTACTCAATGGGAACAAAAAATATTTTTTTCAAAAGTGTACTTCTTTTGATTATTTGAAATATAAAGTATACTCACTATGGAACTTGTAGATTACATAAGCTACTTGAGGACAAAGATTGTTTGGTTTTTCCACCACAATGCTCTGTGTCTAGAACAAATTCTGGCACAAAGTAGGAACACAAAAAAAGTTTTGCTGATAGAAATGTGAAAAATTAGTAGAATACAAAAACTTGTAAAAAGAAAATTAAAGTTACTCAAAATCCCATTGTCTACACAGTTGCTTAAAGTTTGTCGCCGATGTATGATTTTACATAGTTAAAATATACTATCCTGCTTTAAAAAAATACTATATTCATTTGTTCAAATTTTTTTGGGGAGCCCATTCCATGTGCCAGATGTTTTCTAAGATGTGGGGAGAAAACTGATGGCTAGAGACAAGGGATCTGCCATCAAAGAACATCTATCAAATACTTAAAAAACCTGTATAATATTATGTACTGTAGCTGTATAGTAATTTAGTTAACCATTGCTTATTACTGAATTATATTTTGGTCATCAAATTTTTACTCATATATTGTTTATATTATGTAAATTTATAAACAATATAATTAGGTAGTAGTGAGTATATAAATACATATATTATAAACATACTGCAATACGTATCTCTTGAAATAACTCTTGAGTTTTAAATGTGTCTTTAGAATAGATACTCAGAGGTGAAATAACAGGTTAGAGGTTGTGAGTACTTTGAGAATTTCTAAATGATTTTCCAGAAATGCTGTACCAATTTATATTCCTATTAGCAGTATATGACAATGTTTGTTTACTGGTATCTCAACATTAATCTTTACCTATTTGATAAAAATAAATGATGAAACACTTCCTAACAATAGTAATACCTTCCCAATTCTCTGCATCCTTCCCCCAATCCATCCTTGAGTTACTATTTGAGCTTTTTCTTTTTTGAGTTGGAGTCTCACTCTGTCGCCCAGACTGGAGTGCAATGGCTGCTCCCAGCCACCGCAGCCTCGAACTGCTGGGCTCCAGCAATCCTTCCGCCTCAGCCTTCCAAGTAGCTGGAACTACAGGTGCGTGCTACCACGCCCGGCTAATTTTTTTATTTATTGTAGAGATGAGGTCTCACCAAGTTGCCCAGGTGGGTCTCGAACTGGCGGCCTCAGGCAATTCACTCACCTCGGCCTCCCAAAGCGCTGGGATTACAGGCTGAGCCACGGAGCCTGGGCTATTTGATCATTTTTAAACAAAGACTTGCTACATAAATGACTCAACAGGTAGCCGGTCACTAGAAGGCATTAGTTCCAATACACTTTACTTACTTTTTAAAAAAATATATAATATAGAAAAGGAGTAAGGAGAATACTTGATAAATGTTTTAGTCAATAATGAGATAAGAATACAAACAGAACAATAATTAAGAATCTTTTAAAAGTCTTACAATCTATTTTGAGAAGTAAAAACAAATTTTGTTCATTGAATATTATTTACTGAGCAACTAATGTGCGCAAAGTTGACTGTTAGTAAATGAAAAAGTAAAACAAAACCAAAAACTTATCTCTTTAGAAATTATATGGAAAATCAAATTAGTTTGAGTTAGTATTCATAATACTGTGCATCATTTATCTGCTGACCTACCTCTTGCCCATCTTCAAGAATAATAGCTCCAGCCTGCTCTACCACTTCAAAAATCATCACAGAACAGAGCTCTCTCCTTACAGACATGGTCATGTTAGTGAAAGCAGGGAGCTGATGCATAAACTCCAGTAATTGTTCTATAAGAAAAAAGAAATTATAGTATAAAGACCATCAGGATTACACCTTAAAGATACAACAAAATCTAGAATTAAATATCCTATTGCCTAGTCAACTTATAAACTTATAAAGTTAAAGTAGAGAAACCAAGGTACTATTCGTTGATTTAAAAATCAGTTATTTGATTTGGCATTTATACAGACTCACACAAAAGTATAGGCATAATGGAAGATACTAGAATTCACAACCTCTGGAGAGAGCTAGGACACTACACAGGTTCAGTTCAGATGAGGCTGGAGAGTTTAGCTACTTTTCCCAGCCTGAGATGACATTCCATGATGGTTAAGTTTAGTGATGCCCTCTGACCTAATACATTAGTGAAAAAGTCTTTTGTCTAGTTCTTATTGGGCTAAAGGTTGTCTTTTTCTTTTTTTTAAATGACATTAATAAATTACAATAAGTAATTGAGTTAGGGCTAACAAATGTGAAGTATAACTCCGGATTTGTCTAAGCAACTAGGTAACTTAACCAACAAATGTTCATGGGTACTTCAGGTCATTCCATGATATAGATACAAGTGTAATAAAGATAAATATAAGGAAGAAATACATACAAGCAAAATTATTAAATAAAAATAACTATAAGGTACTATATATCCACAGAAAATTGGAATTGTATTTCAATTTTTAAAAGTTTTTTGAAAATAGCATAGTATGCGATCTTTATCATGAAAAATGCACTTTCAGTTTTGACCAGATAATGTTCACACAAATCCGCATTGCAGGCTATATCTTTAGAATAACAAGGAATGTTCAAAAATATTGATCTTTACTCACATAAATTATAATTGTTATTTGTTATCAGTAGCAGCATCTTCTAATAGCTGCCATGTAAATGACAGCTATTATAAAAAAGAAATCCAGAATAAAACCTTGAATCATAACAACATATAGTTGACACTAAGTAATCTTTATTCCTTAAAGATAATATCATCTTTAGTTATCATTCAACTTCCCAACATAGTATAGTAACTAGCTCTGTAAAAAAATTACATAACAGGGAAATTCATCAAGTTGTATCAAGAACAACAAAATATATATTTATATTCAAGTTAGGGAAATAATAGCTTTAAAAAAATATTTGCAAGTTTTAAAAAGCAAATTCATAAACATTGGACACTTGTACTGTGTTTTTAATGGCTTATGGACATTAAAAATATATTTAATGCAAACAAAGATTTTGTTTTATAAATAGTGGCAGCCTATCTCAAAGATGGCTGTCAAAGATCCCTGCCTCCTGACAGTCATGTATTTGAATAGTTCTCTCCTATATTATTATATCAGGGTGGCTCCGTGTGACAAACAGAATTTGGCAGAATTAATGATGCATCATTCCTAAATCCAGATCTTAAAAGACATTGTGGCATCTCCCTTATTCTTCTTTGGATTACTTACTTTGGGGGAAGCCAACTGCCGTGTTGTAAAGATACTTATGGTGTCTATGGAGAGGCCCAAATCAAGAGGAATTTAGGGTCTTATGCCAAAAGTCACGTGAGTAGCCATCTTGAACATAGATTCTACAGTTCAGTTCAGTGAAGACTCAGATGACTGTAGTCCCCTGTCATTTCTGACTACAACCTCATGAGAGATACTAAGCCAGAATAACCAAGCTAAGCTACTCCTAAATTCCTGGCCCACAAAAGCTGTGAGATAATAAATGTATGCTGTTTTATGCCATGAAGTTTTAGAGCAATTTGTCTTGTGGCAACAAGTCACTATATAAGTTAAGGTACAAAATCTTATTGTGAACAGATGTATTCCTTTTTTTTTTAGAGTCAGGGTCTCACTCTGTCACTCAGGCTGGAGGACTACAGTGGCATGATCATGGCTCACCACAGCCTCCAATTCTTGGGCTCAAGTGATCCTCCAGTCTCAGATTTTCAAGTAGCTGGGACTATACGTGCATGCTACCATGCCCTACTAATTTTCTTATTTTTTCCTGTAGAGATGAGGTCTCACCCTGTTGCCCAGGCTGGACTCAAACTCCTGGGTTCAAGCAGTACTCTGGTCTCAGCCTCCCAAAATGCTGGGATTATAGGCGTGAGCCACTGCACCTGGCCAAACAGATGTATTTCTTACCAACGTCATCATCAGTTTTGTCTGCAGGCTCTTTTTCAAGACATTCTCGAACAAGATCTCGTCCCTGCAATGGATCTGTTCTATCAATCTCTTCATCTTCCTCTTCATCATCCTCAGAATCAACAGGTCCTTCTGGAAGACGTGTTAAATCTACATCTCCTACCTCACTCTCTGTAGCCTATGGAAGGAAATTCTGATCACTTTTCATTTCACATTAAATGTCACAGTTGAAACGAATCAAAACAATCCCTCCCTACCAAATATTATAAAGAATTAGGAAATACTTTATGTTGCATCAAGAATACAGTGACAGGATAGATCTTTATTTATAGAAACTTTCTTTCTGCCCAGAATTTACAGGATCACCTTTCCATAGTGTGACAACTAGGTGATAAAACTGTGTAAGTATAAAATGATCAGATGACTCAAACATCAGTAAATGTATTAATATCTGTTTTCTAACAAAGACTTGCATTTTTTTTTTTTTTTTTTTTTTGAGTTGGAGTCTCACTCTGTCGCTCAGACTGGAGGGCAGTGGCTGCTCCTGGCCACCGCAGTCTCGCCTGCTGGGTTCCAGGGATCCTTCCGCCTCAGCCTTCCGAGTAGCCGGAATTACAGGTATGCACTATCACGCCCGGCTAATTTTTTGATTTATTGTAGAGATGAGGTTTCGCTGCCCAGATGGGTCTCGAACCCATGGACTCAGGCAATCCACTCACCTCAGCCTCTCAAAGGTGCGGGATTACAGGCTGAGCCACCGAGCCCGGCAAGACTTGTATTTAAAAAAAAAAATTGTTTATTTTTATTATTTTTGAGTTGGAGTCTCACTCTGTCGCCCAGGTTGGAGTGCAGTGACATGCTCACAGCCACTGCAGCCTCAACCTGCAGGGCTCAGGTGTTCCTTCTGCCTCAGCCTTACAAGTAGCTGGAACCACAGGCACACAGCCACCATATCCAGCTAATTTTTTAAATTTATTGTAGAGATGAGGTCTCGCCAAGTTGCCCGGGATGGTTTTGAACCCATGGGCTCAAGCAATCCTCTCACCTCAGCCTCCCAAAGTGCTGGGATTATAGGTGTGAGCCACCGTACCTGACCGACTTGTATTTCTTAACAGTAGAGGTTTTCTAAAACATGAAGTACAAGAAAGAGAAAGTTTTACCAATAATCACTTTATGAGAGTACCTGTTAGTCTATGCTGGGTGTTATGAAAAAGATATCATTCTTTTATTACAGAATGTAAATTAAGAACAGAAGTTTAAAGAAAGGTTAAAAAAATAGTACTAAAATGCACATAATAGACCAATAGTAAAGAACTAAACAAATACCCATCATGTCCCAATACCTTACTGTTGAATCTAAAAATGTTCAAAGAACTATGATTATCTAACCCATCTTTAAAATAAGCTTATACTTACAACTATAACTTTGGAAATCTATTAGTCTCAGATATTTGTAAAGAAACTATCAAACTTTTTTTATAAAACCATAAACGAAAAGAATCATTCATAGAAAATAATTAAAATGTCGTTTAGGAAATAAAATTGTCCTGAAGTGGATTCTTAAATATTTCTAAATATTACACTCACTTGATTCATACTGTAAATGAAAAAGCATGAATATTAACATCATTATAGAAAATATGAGTGAACACACAGGAACTCAATAATAAATAAAAAATAAGCACTCAAATATGAGTATTAGTGAAGACTAGAGAATCTTCACTCAAATATTTAAATATCATCTTGTATCATCTCATGTTTTGAACATTTACTGTGTTATCTGCCAAGAAGAGGATCTTCCTTCTTTTGAGGATTGCTGTTCCTCTCAATCTTTTTTTTGGTTGGGGGAGGAGGGAGGCTGGAGAACAGTCATATGATTAAAGATACTACTGCAGCCTTGACGTTCTGGACTCAGGAGCTCCCTGTGGCTTCCTTATTTTTCTTACCTCTCTTTCTCTGTGACACTTCCTATCACAAGTGCCCAGGCTGTGCTGTGCTCCTTTATTCTTTCAAGTAGCTGGAACTACAAGTGTGCACCACCACATTCGGTTTATTTTTTAATTTATTGTAGGGACAGGGTCTTGCCAAGTTGCCCAGACTGGTCTCCAACTCCTGGGCTCAGGCAATCCTCTCTCCTCCACCTCCCAAAGCGCTAGGATTATAGGCATGAGACACAGCATCAGGTCCCCTCTCTTAAACTAGAGATTCCAGTGGGAAACGGCGTCCTGTTCCCTGACTAAGCAAGCTAAGGTAGAAAGGGCTTTTTTTCTGATTTCATACATAAATGGATTTGGAAACAGTATTTTTTCTTCTCTGGTTGCTGAATTGGAAGAATGTGAAAGTAGATATCCTACTGACACGTGGAAATGTTTTTTTGTGGCAGGAGAAAAATGAAACTAATAAACAGAGAAAGGGGAAGGAGAATGAGTAGGACACTGATCAAGAAAGGCAGACACAGAAATAGAGAAACAGACAGACACAAAGCAACAGAAACAAAGCATGCAGGACAGAGAAAAAAGGAGCACAGCACAGCCTGGGCACTTGTGATAGGAAGTGTCACAGAGAAAGAGAGGGAAGAAAAATAAGCAAGCCACAGGGAGCTAAAAGACTAGAGAGTGACAAACAGACAAAAGCAGACATATCTCCAGCATCCAGGTTCCCTGAGGCTACAGCTGCCTCTGCTTTTTCCAGGTGGGGGGAGGGAGGGTCTATAAATTATCCTTTAACTTCTGTTAATTAAAGTTAGGACTTTAACACCTGCAAATGAAAGAGTCTTGATCTGTTTTGTAAGACCGTGTTTTATATTTCTCTTTGGATTTCTGCACAGCTTTAAGTAATAACTGGTTAACAACTTAGACAAATACCCAACCTGAGATTTTATATTAGAAAAGCTGGCTGCTAAGGATCTGCTATGGTCTAAAAGTCTATGTCCCCTCAAGATTATTATGTTAAAATCTTAACCCTCAAGGTGATGATATAAGAAGGTGGGCCTTTAGGAAGTTATTAGGTCATGAGACCCTCATTAATGAAATCAATATAAAAGAGGCTTGAGGGTGGCCAAGGGTGGTAGCTCACGCCTGCAATCCCAATACATTAGGAGGCAGAGACAGAAGGATGCCTAGAGTCCAGGTGATCCAGACCGGTATGAACAACATAACAAGAACCTGTCTCTACAAAAAAATAGCCGGGCAAAGCGGTGTATGCCTGTCAACTAGCTACTTGGGAGGTTGAGGTAGGAGGAGTGCAAGGTTAATGGTGAGCTATGATTGCACCACTGCACTCCATCCAGCCTGGCTGACAGAGCAAGATCCTACTTCTTAAAAGAAAAACAAAACAAAAAGCCTGAGGGAGTTCATTCTCCTTTTCCACCACACAAAGACACATTTAAAAGGTGCTATCTATGAACCATAAAGAGGACCTTCACAAGACAACAAGCTTTGAAGTTTCCAGACTCCAGAATTGTGAGAAATAAAGTTCTGTTGTTTATAAGCTCTGGCATTTTGTATAGCAGCCCGAATGGACTAAGACAAAGTCATATAGGGGCTATCCTATTTTATGACTAAGTAGTATGCTCTGAGTTGTTTTCCAGCTATGAAGATTTAGGGTTTAAATGGAGCACAGTCTGAATAGTACCTTTTTGGAACCATAAACTTCTTTACAGGCTACAATTGCTTTTCAAAGACAAGTACTTTTAAATACATATGCTAAAAAGACTTTCCCCAAAACCTACATTCCATTCACTAAGAAAAGTGTTAAAAAACACTAAAACAATATTTTCTACATGTTAATTTAATTTTTCAGAATATACCCCTGAAGAGTGCTTTTCCATTTTATCAATTTTTAAATATAATCTACATTATAAATTAGGGATCTTAAACTGGCCTGTCCTTCATCCTAGTCTAAGGCTTTCATCCCCTGGCCCAGGTTATTTCAACCTAGTCTCATTCGCACTTTTGGGATTATGGTTGACAAAAAGATGGATGGCTCACAACATAAGAAGGCAAGATACAGTTTAGTTACAGGGACAATAGGGAAGGCTTACTATCTTGTGCGTGTGAAATGAAGACATTTAAGATAGCTCTTTATGAAGAATGTCATGCGTTAGGACTGGGAAAAGGCTACTAACAGTTTTTTAGGAACTTTCTAAGACCAACTGCAAAAGAAAGAATACAATCTATTCTTACTATTATATTATATTATAATATATTCTATCTTCTTACAGCTGTACTTTTTTCAAAGCAATGTAAAAAGAATGAATAAAATTAGTTGAAAAATATACTAAACTGTTAAAAAATATTAAGAGTATACAAGGCCGGGCACAGTGGCTCAACCTGTAATCCCAGCACTTTGCGAGGCAGAGGTGAGAGGACTGCCTGAGCCTAGGGATTCAAGACCAGCCTGGGCAACTTGGTGAGACCTCGTCTCTACAATAAATCATAAAAACTAGCCAGGTGTGGTGGCATGAGTCGGTATTTCCAGCTACTTGGAAGGCTGAGGCGGAAAGATCACCTAGGCCCAGCAGGTTGAGGCTGCGGTGGCAATGAGCATGCCACTGCACTCCAGTCTGGGCGTCAAGAGCGAGACTCCAATTCCAAAAAAAAAAAAGTACACATAAATAAATATTAACCACCACACCCAGTCAATTTTTAAAAAATAAGATTGGCCAAACATGGTAGGAAATTAAAAAAATTTTTTTAAATTTAAAAATAAATAAAAAGAACCACATACAGAGCAAAGGTCTAATTCCTTGAGTAACAAAAGGAAGCCACGTCCTTGACACAAAGGTAGATATGATGATCACCAGGACTATAAGTCATTTCATGATACTTCTGAAGATGCTTCCTTGACAGAAAGTTTAATTCTCTAATTAGATATAGATTTAAAAAATCTTTTTTGAGTCATTTCTGTTGCCTAGGAGTACAGTGGCACAATCACAGCTCACCACAACCTCCCAACTCCTGGGCTAAAACGATCCTTCCACCTTAGCCTCCTAAGTAGCTGGGACTACAGGAATGCACCACCACATCCAGCTAATTTTTAAAACTTTATGTAGAGACAAGGTCTCGCTATGATATTGTCCATGCTGGTTTCAAATTTCTGGGCTCAAGCAATCGTCCTGCCTCTTCCTGAACCACCATGACCAGCCATTAATTTTTTTTAAATGTAGTATCCACAATGTTCAGCATACAATAAAAGCTTGCTACAGATGTAAAGTAGGGAAATGTGACTTGTAACCAGGAGAAAATTCAATCAATATAAGAGACACAGGAATGACAGAGATGACAGAAGTAGGAGACAAGAACTTTCAACATTTATTACATATAAGTTCAAAAAATTTAAAAGAAAACAAATATAATTAGAGGAAAATGGAGAATCTCAATAAAGAAATATAAACTATAAGAGTAAACTTGAAGAAAAGACAATAATAACTATCTAAACTGAAGTAAAGAGAGGAGAAAAAAATCAAACAGAAAATTTAATAAAGCCTTAATGACTCATATTATAACGTTAAGAGTTGGTACAAAAAAATGTAAGTCAAAAGACACTCCATATTCATAAAGGTAGGATACACAGAAAAATTGAGCCCTGGTCTATCAACTACTTCATCCTAGCACCGGGGATTTAGCAGGCCCTTAAAAAGATTATGATAAATGAATTAAGTCCAGGAAAAAATATACATATTGGTGATAGGACTAAGACAGTATCAAGCTTCTTGTGTTTTTCTTTCTTGCCATATGAATGTGTCTCTGTGTATATGTGTAAATATAATTTGGTGAGGAAGACAGTCTGAGGTGATTTTCTGATGACTTGGCTTTCTCCAAATAAACCACCAGAGGATATCCTTTTCCTGTTTGCATCTAGATAAACATGAAGCTACAATGAGGGGAACTACAAGGTTAGAATTAAGAGTTAAACAAATTTACAAAAACCACATTTTCAAATTTAGGGCAAGAATTATGCCAGAATCTCAAACTTTCAGTGTGTCTCCTTTATGCATTCCCATTTTTAGTATTTCATTTAATCTTTTTCATGGGTCATTTAAACCTTATGTTTTTCCTCTTTAGCTTCAGGGTTAGACTCCTGTGAATTTAATCCTTCCCAGTTACACAGTCTAGGTTGGTCAACTTCATAATCTCTACAACAGGTTAGTCAGGTAAAGTAATGTCTACTTTGCCCTTGATAATAAAGTTTTACTTAACACAGATCTTCTGCATTTTCCTTGGAACCAGTATTGGTTTCTATTTTCAAATGTAATTCAACTAAAAAAAATTCTAGATTACTTTCTAAGTGCCAGCACCATGCTTAACTCAGCATAGGATACAAGCATGAGTAAAATATAAACTGCTCTCCATAAATTTACTCTGATGAAGCAAAATGTCAAGTTCACAAGTAACTACAAAAAAAAAGTAGGGTGAAAAAGCAAAATGCTCCATAGAAAACCTGCTATGGGATTACAAGGAAGGAGACATCTCTTATTGGAAAAACATCAGAGATAATATGAAAATGTCATCTAGGTGGAGCTCCAAGATGAGGCATCACTAAAAACATACGGCTTTTGTTTAAGAGTCAGTATATCACAATTTATCAGCTCTTGGAAAAGACTGAAATAAATAGAAAAAAGGAACCCAGAAAGTACTCTTTACTCTTGAGTAATCTTTGAAGATGCATATTCTATCCAAGAATATTCTAACACCTTAATGTATACCTTTAGTCAAATTTTAAGCTAATCTGAGTAGAAAATATTCACACTGGAACTATTAACTTGCTTTTTTTTGTTCCCACACTGTGGTAAATCCTTTATTTTGAAGTTTCTTTGAGAATCAAAGGCTATTATTTTTAAATGAAAAGACATGAAAACTCACAAGGAAAAAAATCTGCAAGAGTATAGCCATACATTTGGCTATATAAAATGGTGCAAACAGTTCTGTTAAGAACTGCTGTTAGGATATCTCTCTTCTCTCTTCTCAATTCTCCAAATTAAAAACAATTGCATAATTTCACAAGGCTTTGCTTATACTGCTACAGTGTACAGGTTCACTTTTAAAGTCTCTCAAATATTCAGATATTCTAATATTCAGATAAACAGACAAATGACTTCAACTATCCCTGGCTAAGATATACACCTTGGCAATATATGCCTGTAAAGGTGTATTCATAGTTCTAATAAGGCCTCCAAAGGCAGTCTGAGGTCAAGAAAAAGACCACAGGTCCGGTACAGTACTGATATTTAATTCTTCTTCCCTTTGTTTTAGTCGCAAGGATATGACTGGAAAGACACACCCACACACAAAATTAATTTAGTTGGGTGGTACTATTTAACTTATCCATGTTTTTAAAAAAATATAAGCCGGGCCCGGTGGCTCAGTCTGTAATCCCACGCCTTGGGAGGCTGAGGTGAGTGGATTGCCTGAGCCCATGGGTTCGAGACCCACCTGGGCAACTTGGTGAGACCTCATCTCTACATTAAAACAAAAAATGAGCCGGGCGTGGTAGCGCGCGCCTGTAGTTCCAGCTACTTGGAAGGCTGAGGCGGAAGGATCGCCGGAGCCCAGCAGGTCGAGGCTGCGGTAGCCGGGAGCGGCCACTGCATTCCAGTCTGGGCGACAGAGTGAGACTCCAACTCAAAATAAATAAATAAATAAATAAAATCTGTAGGTCTAGAAATCATATATTTTGGGGGATATATTTCATCAATCTATTATTATTCTGTTTATTACCTCTAGCAACCTTTAACTTTTTCCACATTTTTTCAACTTTTATTTTTAACTGTAAACTTTACTTACATTCTCCTTAAGATTTGTTAAATATAGAAATAATAATGTTCATTTAAGGAACCTAGCAAAAACTATCCACAAACCTACCAATTGCTACCAATTGATGCTCTTGAACTCTGTTTACATTCTGTGTTCTGCAGAACCACAGTCTAAAATGTCTTCCTCAGACAATGATACTATTTCGAACTACAGAAATGATCCCTAAAAGTATAGTCTTCGATTATAGTATTTCTACAGATCTGTGCGATACGATAGCCACTAGCCACATGTGGTTACTGGGCACTTGAAATGTGGTTAGTCTGAATTAAAATGTGCTGTAAGTTTAAACTCTGGTTCTTGATGATTTAGTATGAAAAAGGAATGTACTCATTTGTAATGTTAAAATATTGACTAGATGCTGAAATTATATTATTTGGATATTCTGTGCTAAGTTAAATATATCACTACAATTAATTTTGCCTGTTTCCTTTTACCTTTTTTTTAACGTGGCTACTACAAAATTTAAAATTAAATACTTGCCTCATATTAAATTTCTAGCTGACAGCCCTAAAATAGACAGCATGTTTGAATAAACCAACCCTCAATATTATGCAACCTCTAGATTTTAATAAAAGTGTTTTATGTCCTATACCCCATGATTTCTGACGAAATCAACCACTGGGCTCCAGAACATAAAGAACCACACACAGGGAACTGCTCTTCACATCTTATACTAAAGAAGACATCATAAAAGTTCTACTATCTGGATCCTAAAACATTTACTACATTGGCTTGAATCTAACTTGGGTTCTAATCTCAGCAGGAATGTATGACAACTTTCTCAGTTTACAGGTCTTCCTAGAACCTTCTCTCCACTATTACAAAGATCACTGAAAAGCTTAGTTTGAAATTGTTCCTGGTGAGCATTTAAAAATGAAGAAGTCCATAAACATACTTAATTTATGGTATACTACAATAATAGAGGCTTTATAATATAAAAGCAGCTTAATTTTCATGACTTCTAATTATATAAGATGTATACAATCGGCCAGGCTCGGTGGCTCAGCCTGTAATCCCAGCACTTTGGGAGGCCGAGGCGAGTGGATTCCCTGAGCCCACAGGTTTGAGACCAGCCCAGGCAACTTGGTGAGACCTCCTCTCTACAATAAAATAAAAAAAATTGCCGGGCGTGGTAGCATGTGCCTGTAGTTCCGATCACTTGGAAGGCTGAGGTGGAAGGATAACCAGAGCCCAGCAGGTCGATGCTGGGGTGGCTGTGAACGTGTGTGCCACTGCACTCCAGCCTGCGTGATGGAGTGAGACTCCAACTCAAAAAAAAAAAAGATGTATACAATCAACTGTAATAAAAGTCAGTCTTTTTATAAGTTAAAATTCAGTTGTTTCAAAATATTTTTTTTTAACCCAAAACAAGCATTATATATTAGTATGGATTCACCTGGACAAAATAAGTGAAAGAGACACTATATCATATACCAATGGGCCATATCTAATCATTCTCAAAAAACAGATCACCTCTTTAATTAGGCTTACAAATTGCAAATAGTATATAAAGTCTGTTTTTACAAAGACCTTATGGTTGAATTTCATACCTTAATTAAAATATATGTGACCATTTAAGGCACAGGCAAAGGATATTTGAAAAGCCATATGCATAGCGCACACACTCCTAAGGCACACACACTCCTACCTGATAGATATCAGATAAACTGCTGCTCCCAGAGTCACTGGCAATGCTACAACCAGACTGACTAGAAGATACATGAGTCACCTGTGGATGAGGGTTGTCTGTAAGGTGCATCTTGGTAAGATCAGCTGGAAGCTGAAGAAAAAAATAATGTAAGTTATTCTAAATGTTAAGTTTTACCTTTTAGAGAGTTCTTTACACACCGATTTCTATAACACATTTTTATATACATTACTGTGCAAACTCATTTCTAAACTAAATTCTCTACCTTTGGCAAAAATCCATTGAAATGGTAAGAACCAAATAGTACTCTCTGAAACTATTAAGCAACCCTACAGTGGTAAGCCCATAGAACAGTTAAATAAAAAACCAAAAACAAACAAAACTGCCACTACTAATAGTATTTCAGAGAAAAAAACCTGACTTCTCTTTTCTCTCAAATAAAAATAAAAGCCCGTTCCATTGTAAAGGATAGGAATGCTATTAAAACACGGATACACACGTTCAAATACACTCCACTTTATACAAAATGGTGACCAATGCCAAAATAAAATAGCAGTACCTTGGATTAAAGTACAGCTGTTGCTTTGGAGGCTAGGGTGAGGCGATTGCCTGAGCCCACGGGTTGGAGAATAGCCTGGGCAACTTGGCAAGACCTCATCTCTATAATAAATCAAAAAATTAGCTGGGCGTGGTAGCGTGTGCCTATAGTTCCAGCTACTTGGAAGGCTGAGGCGGAAGGATTGCCTGAGTCCAGAGGGTTGACACTGGGGTGGCTGAGAGTGTGCCATTGCACTCCAGCCTGGGCAACCGAGTAAGACTCCAACTCAAAAAAAAAAAAAAAAAAGTACAGCTGCTGGTACCAGGGCTTAAGACAAGTAAAACATCGACAATATTCAACATTCCAAAAATATTAGCTTGTAGTTGGCCCTTGAGAGATTTTTCAATAATCAAAATTGCTTAATGAATGTATATGCTACATGCAGGGACACAGACACAAGAAGGAAATGACTCCACCATCCCATCTTTAATATGATCACACTGTTATCAGGGATACAGGCTGAACAAAATACATTTTATACCATAAAACAGACATCTCACAAAATAAATGCTACAGGAGGTCAGACAATAAGTAAACCATTCTAGAGTAGTAAAAGTTTTACACAAGAGATATGCTTCTAGAGTAGTAAAGGTTTTACACAAGAGATATGCTTCTATATTTTCTGAATAATTTCTCTGTAACTTATTCAGGACTATAAAGAGAAATCAATATAATTTTTAAAACAGGGTTTCTCATTGCTTTTTTGTTGGAAAAAATTTTAAAACATAGTATAAATTAAATATAAACTCTAAAGAAGAGAATGATCAAGTCTGAATTATGTTAACTCAAGAGGAAGTATTGTGATTATAAAAATAAAATCTATATACAACACAAACTACCCCTGCTGATAATGATGAGTTAGATAATTGGATGAGTTCTATCACAAGGATAAGCAGAAAAACTGGAATGAATGAATGAACACACGAACACACACACACACACACACACACACACACACACACACACACAATCTGGCCTTTGAGGTTGCTTTTTCTCCTAAGAATATTTTCTGATTCCTAAAGAGAAGTGCAATAGGCTGAGAAACAAACACTTCTGACAGCTGAAGAGACAAAAGTTAAATTCCAAGGCCTAACATGGAAGAACCATCTTTGGACTGAGACCACAGAGAGCCCATTATACTCTAGGAATAAATGTGACCCAGAAGTAAACTGATGCAGATTTTAGAATCACTTCAATGTCTGATGCTGGTTTAAAGTTATATAGGATTATTAGTGTTTCCAGTCAACTGTTGAAAGCAAACTCAAATCCTTGCTATAGGGAAAAAAATCATCTTAGACCTCAGATTGGAAAAAAATTTTTTTGGCATACATAACACCTACTGTTTAGTCAAATAAAACCAGGTATTTATAAGAAGACAAGATGTCATTCATGAAGAAAATGATGAGAAACAATAAACACTAGAAACTAATAAAGAACCTTTACATTATAGGGTTATCTGACACAGACTCAAAATAACCATGTTTATTTATTTTTTTATGATTTTAATTTTTTTAAATTTTTATTTAAAAAAATTTTTAATTTTAAAGATGTGGGGTACAATTCAGGGTTAGGTATACAAATGTTCATTATGCAGGTACCCTTGTTGATGAGGTGTGCACCCCTCCCCAACAGCTTCCCACTACTGCCAATCTTTTTCTTACGGTATTACAATAATTGTTCAAGGTCCGCTTATGAGTGAGAACATGTGATACTCAGTTCTTTGCTTCTGTGATAGATTACTCAGTATCATAGACTCTAAGTCCATCCAAGTTGCTGCAAAGTTCATAATTTTATCCTTATTTAAGGCTGCGTACTATTCCATTGTGTATACATGCCACATTAACTGTGTTTAATACATACCAAGAGTTATGTTCTATAAAGGGCCAAAAAGTATAAATTTTAGGTTTCACAGGCACATACAGACTCTATTGTATACGTGTGTGTGTGTGTGTGTGTGTGTGTGTGTGTCTGTGTTTAAACAACGCTTTAAAAATGTAAAAATTAATCTTAGCTCACAGGTCATAACAGCTCACTGGCCAGACTTGATCCAGTTTAGTAATCCATATAAAGAGAGAAAAAGACAAGACTAACAATTACAGCAAAGAAAGAAAAACTAACAAAGAACAAAACAAAAAATCTAGAACGAAAAGATAACTATAAAAATTAAAAGCCAACAGACAGGCTTAACAAGAGATTTGACAGAGCTAAGTACAGAATTTGAAAGTAAAGAGTGGTCTGAAAAAAATATCCAGAGTGAAACAAAGAGAGTAGAAAGGGTAAAGTTAGGAGAGAAGGAGATACAGTGAAAATGTGACATCTGAATAACCAGCATCATAGAAAGAGGATAAAGGGTATTCAAGGTACACAAGCAAGATAATGTCTGAGCATTTTCCAAAATTGACAAAAGACACGAAGTCACAGAACATGGAGCAAGATAATAAAAAACAAAACTTTACCTATGCATGCCAAAATAAAACTATTGGGGAAGGAGAGGTAAAAGTTTTAAAGCCATCGGGGAAAAAACGTGTTTCCCCAGATGAAAAAAGTCCTCAAAGGGAAATGTTTTGCCAATGTAGAAGAAGTGAAACAAAAAAAAGTAGAGGCACTAAAATGCACCAAAATGGACAAGTCCAAAAACTGTTTGAGGAGTGGAAAAAGCATCTTGATAGGTATTACTGCATCAGAGAGTACTTCAAAGGTGACTGAAATTTCAGAAGGAAGAAATGCACAATTTTTTATAAATAAATTCTTTTCTTTGGAGGGGTTCCCTCTCATACATCTAGATTTGGAAGGAAAGATTTGGAAGAATATATGCCAGATAATAGTGGTATTCTATAACGAAAAAAAAAATTGCCAGATGGTGATCCAAAAGATTGTTTAGCTTTATCTGCAATATGTAGTTTAAATATTTTGTTTTCTCATGGAAAAAATGTATTTTCTATAGTTTCTATAAATAAATTATTTGAATTTTTCAAAGCTGAAAACAAATATATACACACATAGATAGGCAAGGGTGATTTTTCTCTTATCTTTCCTTTTTAAAAGAACCATAAACAATGAGAATGTGCTCAGATTCTGTAACCCTTAGCAACTAGGGGTTGCTGCACACATAGTATACATTCTTTTTACTATGATTAAAAAATTAAAATAACAACCCTCAAAGATGGGTTTTATTAGAACACCTGGTGAGAACATAAGTACTAATATATTTAATATTTACAGAAGAGCTGAAAACTAATATTTAACATATAAGCACTGGAAACAATGTAAAAAGCTAAATTAGGTTATAATAACAAACAGTTAACTCCCAAGATAAGGACCTGTATGGGAAGCTGAGAAGCAAACGGAAAGTGAAACACTTCCGTGTTTTCATTCCATTCCTTTGAATGTGGCACTCAATACTCTCTGTATCTATTTTATTGTGCATATATATGTACACACAAATATATGTAGTCACACATATACGTATATATAGTCATAAATATAGTAGATATATATAAATGTAGTCACATTTGTGTATACATATATATGTGCGTGTATGTACACACACGTGTGTGTGTGTGTGTGTGTGTGTGTGTGTGTGTGTGTGTGTGTGTATAGATATATGACTATACATGTATATATGTAGTCATCTCCTCTTTGGGAGACTGGGTTCAGGACCCTCATGGATACCAAAATTCACAGACACTCAAAACTTTTAAAGTGGTGCAGTATTTGCATATAACCTATAAACATCCTCCCATACATTTAAATCATCTCTAGATTACTTACAATGCCTAATTTCTCTCTCACACACACACTGTATTAACACTCACCCAAATCCAAGTTTTTCTCTCGATAACCCTTGCATGATGATAATGATGATTGCTATATGACACCTAAGTGCTGATGTGGTGAGGTGACAAGATGCACTGTAGGTAAGCAGTGAAAAATCAGGCTAACCTGAACCTTCTGACATCCTGTCAGAAGAATCATGTACATCAGAAGAACCAAGTTACGACTGCATACATTGATGCTTCAGAGAAGACTCAACAATACCAATGTCAGATCTCTGGAGGCTGAGGGCTGAGGATCTTCAAGCATTGAAGAACAAAGTCTCATAACTCTAGATGCCTTGCTAGAAACACTGCTATAGAAGTTTCTTCTTTTTCTTTGCATCATTAAACACATCTTGCAATGGTTATAGGCATGCCGTTATTCCTTGGATGAAGAGGATAGTACGTGAAGATCCTATCCTTTAACACTTGGACCTGTTGAAGAACTAATGCAAACTTTTCAAGTGACCACACTGACAGCTCTGCTGTCTCTAAATCTTCTGCTGCATCATTATGATCTGTAGAGGATTTCAGCGGATCTTCAGTTTCCTTGTTGGTAAGGTGACTCTATGCTCTTATATGTGTTCCCTGGATGTTATCCTCAATCATGTAAGAGAAGCCTTCCCCACCAACTTCCCTTGTAACATTCAAGATATTCCTGACTTCAGTATCAACAGTGGGGAAACTCCCGAAATTACTGACTACCTTACTCCATAATA